TTCTTCTCTCTCTCTCTCTCTCTCTCTCTCTCTCTCTCTCTCTTGTTTTTTTTATTATTGAAATAAAAAATTTCAACGAAGGGGAAGAAAGAAAAGATAAAGAATTCTTTTTAATTTCTTTATTTCTTCTACTTTTTTAATAAATCAGTGACTCGAGTCGCTACAAACTGTGTATGAGTTCCTTTTATAATTTACTTACGAAGTATATAATAATGATTTTGTTTGATCACCGATCGCTCATTCACACGCACCCGCTTACCTTGATTATAAAAAACTTCGAAAAAGATAAATCGATTGGAATTTTCCACTCTCCACCCGATGAAATGCGTTCTAAACGTGAGACAATAGCCCGATACGTTAGTTCCCATCGCTTATCATTTTTATTTCATTATTTATTTCATTATTTGTCCATCGAATTCCTCCCATGTGAACAGTGGCGACTTTTATACTATATGCAATAAGGATTTCGAAAATAAACGCGGCATTTATGTTATATTATATTTTTTTCTCGTAAACTCTCGACAACAGATACTTTCCTTTTGACCAGTTGTAAAATACTGTCTCTCCTCTCTACATATTTTTTTCTTCTAATTTTTAAAATCCCTCCCTCGCTCGAGAAAGGAGAAACTAAACTTTTGAAGGACGATCTCTGATGATTGGCTTTTTTTTTCTTTATATAAAATTTCCTATAAACAATATCTTTTCCCGTGGAACAAAGATTATTTTCTCGGAATTACATTCGAACAGTCCGAACTGAATATTTTCTTTCTTATTTTGTCGAGAACGGATTGTCAAAGTAAACGGATTCCGATTTCTTCATTTTCTTATCTCGGTACTTTTCGGTAAAAGTATTCCCTTATCATCTACTAGAATTCACGCTTTCCTCTTTCTTTGTCTTCTCATACGTATCTATCTTTCGAATTTATGCCGTTTTAGGGTGAGTAAGAAGTAAACATCTGAATAAAGATGGCACGGTGTTCATCACATGCGAAACGTTTCACGCGGAACCAACTCCCTTGATTCGTACGTTTCGTGCTCTTTCCATTATATCTTTTTCTCGTTCTCTCATTCGCACAGAATCATCGGCTGTGTGATCAACGGACTGTATGTACGGGAGAAGTATGTACAGAAGACTTCGTGGCTCGATGCTATCGATCTCGTCGAAGCAACGCTCCTCGCATTCCTGCACTCGACATCCTTTTCCCTTCTGCCGCACGGGGATGATACATTGCACGTGTAAAAATTAACTGCGTTGCTCGAAATGAATATCAAAACTGAGCTTAATGTTATTAAACGTTCTTACGATCTTATTATATTATCGGAATCGATAGAGATGGAATTACGAATTTGATCAAATATCGTAAATATCTTGAAATAAAACAAGAAAGAAAGAATAGAAAAAAAAAAGATTGCAAGTGTTACGATAAATTGTTGTGTAAACTCTTGTTTTGGAATATTAACATTAATTTTTTCGTTAATCGGAGCAAAATACATATATTCATATATTCAATTTTTCAAGAATCTGATTAACCTTAATAAAGAACGATATTACTGACATTTTTGAAAAAAAATAGTTGAAGAATCATTCTCTTAAAATTTCAAATTTTTGGATACAACCTTCCTATCTTCAATTGCACTCCAAGAATCAAGTAGCCGCGCCATTAGCAATTCATCGAACTAAAACGTTCGTTCTTTTATTCGAACGATATCGCAAAAAAGAAACGAGACGCTTTAAGAGCTTGAAGAGCGGAGGAAGATGGCGTCCCTCTCGATTGCACTTCCCCCATTTTTACCCGTAATTGCTACGATCGCGTGCAATCGAGAGCACTTTCGTCGAGTCGGTAGCATCGATACAACCACGAGGAACGAATTGCTTATGCATCTGTGTTCGTGTTACGTTCGTGTAAGTACGCGCAAAACGATACTCACTCCTTTCAATCGCAAAATTCTAATACGTATATATAGAACAGGACTTAAGTTCGCAGAGAGAGAGAATAAATTTAGTCTATCTCTTGCGTTTTCTTTTTTTTTTGTTTTTCTTTTCTTTTTTTGTTTTTTTTTTTGGTTGTATTCTTCGTATGCTACAATTTGTATGTGTATATGTGAGTTAAAAGCGTTTCAGATTGCTCGTATCGCATAAATAATCCCTGACGACGACAATACGAATCGCTCGCAGTTCTCTCTCGCACTCCTCTTCTCTTCTCTCCTCTTTGTCTCTCGAGAATCAATTACCGCACCGTTGAACGTGCAATTATACGATGCAGCATCGTACAACTCGCGAGCGAAATCAATCGAAACGCGATAATGGCTCCAAAGACGATTCGAGCGCATTTCATCACACTAGTATATCGATTTCTAGCCATTCCATTTTTCCTTTTGCTTCGTATATAATATATAGTATATATATATATATATACACACACAAGTAAAAATCGTTCTCCATCTCCAGCGACGATTATCTCGGATCACAAAATAAGAAACCTTGGTTAACGCTAATGCCACACACCGACTATATGTACAGAAATTATAAACAGAGCATATTATATATTGTATATAATACCCTTGAAAACGTTACTCGCTATTCGTGATCAATAATATTACCGTTAGTAAATTCTTAGATATGGTTGTTCGAGGCCCGAAGACTGGCACGCGTCACCCTGACTTCCAGCAATTCCGTAACTTCGTCTCAAGCTCGTCATGCCTGGAGGGCATTCTGATTCGGAGATCGATCGAATCGCAACATACGCGAATACACGATTGAATTTAAATATTTCTTTACCATTTTTAAATAGTTTGATCCTCTTCATTGACTAGAAGCTACGTTAATTTAACAAGTCTTATAATAAATGCAATCGTTACTGTGCCTTTGTAATATTGTAAAATTCGAAGCGTTGTCTCGATCGATTGTCACGTACGTCGCGAATCAATGTGGAATGGATAAGGAAAGAGAGAAAAAAGGGGGGAATTCTATTCGCAGACAATCGTGTCGCTCGAACTATCTCCTTCCGTACAGCGAAACGCGTGGCCAGACTTGAAAACCTGCTCGCGATAGTTCCTTTTACAGTAAAAATATATTATCGCTACAATAGTACTTAATTTTGACTAGCATGTGTTTATAGAATCGATTACCAATCCTTATACAACTCGCTAGAATCGATAAACGCGATCTTATTTAAACGCATATATAAGTACTTACATACTTCGATCGCATCGAAACTTGTTATTCTCGATTGGCAATCATTATCAATATAATAGAGTTGCGTAAAAATCCGTGAACACACAAATCTCGTTCACGCATCTCTATATATTGTATATATATATATATATATTATTCCTCTTAACGTTCTACAATATTTACTTGAAAATTGTATGGTACGATGTCGGCTTTATCTTAATGATTATACCTTTTTCTTTTCTTTTTAAGAAATTACGATCTAATAACTTCCGCTGGGACTCTACGATCCACGCGAGTGTAATATAAAGATCGATCGTTTAATTCTATTCTCGGATAATCTTGATTTTCGATAATATTCATTTTTCGCTCGATTAAGTATCCTTCGTGTCGTGTTCTATAAATCATTCGTATGGAGACTACGAGTTCTCGTATAACGTATAATTAAGCATATGAAATTCGAGAGCTTGGACAGAATGACTTGGTATCTTTCGAATTTACCAAGCAGAGCAAATACGTAATATTCTTTTTTCTTTCTTTTTTTTTATCATTTTTTTTTTTTCCTTTTTTATGCTTTCAACGTCTCGTCATATCTACGATATTATAGAAGACACAGAACACGTTCGATACACGGAATGCAGAAAAAAAAAAATAATATATATATATATATATATAAAAGGGAGAGAAACGTCTCTCCGTTATAAAAAGAACAGAGGTTAATCAGAAAATTATATATAAATCTAGCTTCTTTAGATATTTCCTACAATTTAACCACACAGCAACTATTATTTCATTTTTTGTTCAGTCTTGTGATTAATACTACTTTAATACTTTTACAATTCGTTATAGAGTCAACTGTAAGTATATAATTCTTTATATATGTATAACCCCTCTGTGTACCGAAGAGCCGACCGTTTGCTCGTTAACTCATTCGGCTCGATCCTTAAAAATTCGCGACACGATAAACAGGATAAGCGTGGCGTTGCTACAGCGATAGTTGTGATTGCTTCGACAGAAAAAGAAGATGAACGTATACGAGAACAATATCCCGGGGCTTGAGAAAACGACGGACGTAGTTGACAGTAGAGCGTCACTATAATATAATATATTACAAATTCTGTTCCGGCACGATGAAAACAATTCCTTGCATGTTGGGGGAAAATACAGCTATATTGTCATTGAATCGTGATTCCCGGTTTAACTTTACATTGTTCAATGAATCTCTAATATGCAAACGGTAAACGCTCATTACCGTTGATCTTTTTGATTCTGAATACTGATTTGATTATCCACTCCGCAGAGCGCAACATGTGTACATGAAACAGAGAATAATCCATTTTAATATATTTCAATGCGAAAACATTCGATATCGATTCTTTCATTTCTCTCTCTCTCTCTCTTTTTCCATTTTTCTTTCTTAATCTGCATATAACTCCTAGCATTTCTATTATTGCGTTCAGTATCACTGCATAATATCATACCGACCAACTCAACCAGCGCGTTATCATCCATTATTCTCGATGCAAGGTTTCACTTGCGATCGCGAAATTTTACACGCGTCATTTTTTTTTTTTTTCTTTTATTGCTTATTTGCGCGATCTCGCGAGTTAATTCATTCGAATGAGCAAGCAAAAAATTAAATTTAAATGCAGAGAAGACTCACGGTTATAGCTCGCACATATGTATAAATGTATAGTTTTTTTCTTTCCCTTTTTTTTTTTTTTTTTTTTTTTTTTAACGACGATCAAAAAAAACTTCGAAGCTGTGCAGACGTAAGAAGATAGGCCTAACTAATTCGATTCCTCTTCGATACGTCATACGACTAGCTCTTTCGTTTAATCGTCCACGATAGTTTTATTTTATAATATCATACGATAGTTTCATTTTATTTTATATCAAAAAGATCCTGCACCATCGAAGTAAAAATAAATATTCTTCGTTTCTTTCCCCCACCCCCCCTCCTTTTTTTGTTTCTTTTTTTTC